GGGTTTCTCTGTGTGGCAGAGCCAGGCGGATCTCATGTGAGTTCGAGATCTTTACTTTCTTAATGAAGCCTAAAGATGAGCTGGGAAAAATAAGAATTTTGGAGGGCATTGCTTAAACAGTAAAAAATTAACTCAGCTAGTGATCCAAGGAAGATACAAATAGTGTGTTTAGTGGTTAGGAAGGAGCACTCTGAAGTTCAAGCTGTGTAACCTTGGGCAGATTACTTAAGGCAAAGGATTTTTTTTCCCCTGATCAGACGCTGTATTGCTGGTAGGGCACCAAATGCACAGAAACTGACCACAGCCAGGTGTGCAGTCTCCACACTCTTTAAAAGAAATTCAGAGAGATAGAGACACCAGAGAGGCGTCTCTCTTCCAGAGATGATTCACTGGCTTCACATTGCACTTTTAAAAGGTAGAACTAGCCAGAACATAATCTCATTGTGTTTTATTCTTTTACAGATCTTTGAATTCTTTATGCTAATAAACCTTAGGGCACAGTCTCCCAGAGTCAGACAAAGAACCGTGGAAATGGTAGAGGACCCTACAAAGGCACCCCAGCAGGCCAAGGGCACCGTCTTTGGGAACGTCTCAATTATCTAATTTTCCTCTAACTTCTCCTCATTTTTCATGGTATTAACTCAGTTTACATGATTTTTCTGTCTTATGTGATATTAAATATTACAAATATCTCTGTCCTGAACTGTGGTGAGATTCCTTCAAGAGCCTATAGCAGCCAGTTACCTGGCTCACCTCCTTTGAAAGGAGCACTGGGTACTCTGGTTTCCAGATCTGACATCGACACTCAGACTACCTTGCTTCAGGTCGCCCTAGGGACCAGATCTCACAGGCTAACAACGCTCTTTGGGATGACTCTGCTGACCACCTCCCACCTCCTCTACTCTGAGCCTTCTGTGAGCAATGTTTCTAAATTGATCTCTGACACTGACTGAAAGGTCCCTATGCTGGAAGGTGCCAGAGAGCCTCCAGCAGTGACAGATGACCTGCCATGGGGAAATGACTAGCCATCCCTTACAGTGTTTCATCTCATACCATGGACCTGAGGGTCACTCAAATCTCAATGATAGTTGCCCCTTGAAAGGACAGAGATAAAAAGGGATTAAAAGAGCAAATGACGCTCCTCCAGTCTTCCAACTTCAGCGTGACTTTTTGGAAATAGATAACATCAGTAAGTTTGGGTAATCCATTTGAAACTTACATGTATACTTTGCTCAAACAGATTTAAAAATGTGGTTCGGAGCTGGGCAGTGGTGGTGCACGCCTTTAATCCCAGTACTCTGGAGGCAGAGGCAGGTGGAGCTCTGTGAGTTCGAGGCCAGCCTGGTCTACAGAGAAACCCTGTCTCGAAACCCTCCCCCCTCCAAAAAAAATGTGGTTCAGAGTAAAGTAGATACTGTATTTATACTTTTCTTACTTAAGAGTCTGGGGACTTGGGGCTGGTGAGATGATTCAGTGGGTAAAGGTGCTTACTGCCAAGCCTTATGACTTCAGTTCCATCCCCAGGACCTACACAGTGGAGGGAGAGAACTGACTCCTTGGGTTGGCCTCTGACCTCCACACATGGTGGCATGCATGCACCTTCCCCCCATAATAAGCAAACAAACAAACAATAAATAACTGTAATCTAGAAAAATGTAAAGAGGAGCTGGGCAGATGGCTCAGTGGTTAGGGGCGTCTACTGCTCTTGCAGAGGACCTGAGTTCAGTTTCCATCTCTATGGCTCACAGTTCCATGGCGTCAACACCTCCTTCTGTCTTTTGTGGGCACTTGTACTCCTGTACTTGTGCTTACATGTGTGCGCACACACACATACAACTTTAAAAAAAATTTAAAACTATTTTAGAAGAGGAAATGATAGTCTTTCTACATTGAAACACAACTCACTCTAACAGTTTTGTAATAGTCCACTCAGAATGGACTATCATTTATTCAACCACCCTTCTAAAAAAATAACTTATTAAAAATTAATTTTATGTGCATTGGTGTGAAGGTGTCAGATCCCCTGGAACTGGAGTTACAGACAGTTGTGAGCTGCCATGTGGGTGCTGGGAATTGAACCCAGGTCCTCTGAAGGAACAGCCAGTGCTCTTAACCCCTGAGCCATCTCTCCAGCCCCTCAACTGCCCTTTCACTGATGGATATGTAACTGGTTTCTGGTCCTTACAGACCAATGGTAGAGAGAGCATCTGCCCAGCCATGTACAAGTTCCTGAGTTCAGTCCTCAGTACCACCAAACCAAAACAAAAACCAAGAGGAAAAAAAAAACAAAACAAAACCCAGCAGAGAATTGAGTCATCAATGGTGTGCTTGCAAACAGATTCCAGGACAGCAAACTGCTGGGAGACAATACTTAATCTGTCTGTGTGTTGTATAAGGAACGAGGGACCCAGCCTTTTGCTTCCTCGAGTAATTAGCCAGGTGTCCCAACTCTGTTTATTGAATAATTGAACTTTTCTGTTGTTTTGTGTTTCCGTCTGTGTCTTGGAAATCATCACATCCATTTCATAATTATGAACAGAATCACAAGTACGTTTTGTATGGAGTTAATGCTGAGATCACTGTAACATGGTTGTCACAGGAGGCTCCTCCCACCCCTGTCATTTGAAAAGCAATCAGTGCTCCATGCTTGATGACAGAGCGAATATTCAAAATGCTAACTGGGCAGCATCTTATACTCTCACAGGAGAGGCTAGGCTCTGTGGGCTTTAAGGCAGGTGACAGTGCCAACGGGAAACATTAAGAAGACACTGGCAGCCCGGCGTATGTGAGGCTAGGACCCCAAGATGAGCCCCATGTGTCCCTTACTGGATATATTCCCAGTAACCCACAAGCCCTGATTTTCAAATTCTTAGTGGATGAACCCTATGGCCAGAAGAAGGTTCCGGAGCCTTGCATATAGAGAAAGCATAGAAAGGAGTCAAGGGCAAACCGAGACTTGAAACTGAACTCACGGGAGGAAGCAGGAGCTTTTCTCTCCGAACCACACATGTATATAAGAGGGTGATGGAGAGGAGTGACGGTCAGCAAGAGGACACGCCGTGGAGCTCAGACCACAGCCAAACTCTCTGCATGGTGGCAGCTGTGTGTTGCTGCTAAGAGCTCCCACCTGAAGCCACGGAGCTCTGGGTTATCGTGACAGCAGCCCACAGGCTTGGGGTGCAGCCCCTGAGACCTGGTCACTGGGCAGGACATAAACGCACAGTACAGTGCTCCAAAGAAAGGAGCGGGTAGTGTTTAAATACAAGGAAACTGGGGTGCTGTGGGGATTGAGGCTGGGACATGGACACGATGACCCCATGACCCTATGGACCCACAGAACACCGGAGATTACTCGACCGCAGTCGTAACCAGGACTAAACGTTTTGGTCCTGCCTCTTGTCTTCCCAAGACAGACAAGTTGCCAGTTCAAGGACCTCCCCTGAGGGGCTGGGCAGAGACCAGAGGGCTGAATTTACAGGGAGGCAGCCTGCAGCTAGAGACAGGGAGACTCTCCCGCTCCTGTGCCAGGAGGGAGGCAGCACTCTGCTACTAGAAGTGAGCAGGTGTGCAGTGGGGGCGGGGGGGGGGGGGGGGCTTCCACAGGAGGGGTGAGTACTACAGAAGACTCTCAGGTCTCAAATGTGTCTGAGCTTTACAGCCGTTAGGAAGTCTCTCAGCACCAAGATTCAGTGGAGAAAAAGTAAAGTACACACACACACACACACACACACACACACATACACACACACTACACACACATACAACACACATAATAGTACATATATACATACAGGGAAAATACACGTATGCCTTTATGTAGAAAAGTATACATATGTGCATGTATACGCCTGCTTAATCTCAGTTTTCATGCTTCTTATACTATTATTCCAAGTCTGGCTTCACGGAATCTTTGGAGTGTTTACTGCATGCCAGGCACCATACCGAGTGCTTCATCTGCACTCTCTCTATAGGCAGCAGTTCCTGCCATTTCCCATTGAGATGAGGGCCCGAGTCTAAGGCTCATGAAGACCATACCTGGGCTCAGTCACACAGACAGCGAACGGCAGAGTGGCTGTTGGAGCCTGGCCTTTCCTGTGAAAGCTGCGCCCAGCTCTCTTCTTTTAATGTCGCGAACTTACAAAGATTAAAGGTGCTTGTCCACCCACCCAGACAAAGAGGATCGTATCCTATTTTTAAGTATGGCTTTGTTGCTTTAAGGACTATTACATAAGAACCAGACTCAGGTGGGAAATGTCAGCTTAAACTAATGAAACTGCTGTGAGATGTTTAAGCCCTACGGGAATCGCTGGAAGTGGATGAGTAGCCGGGTCTCAGTCTGTACTGAGCGCTGTTTAGTCTTTATTTTGTCAGTTTGCCATGTATGGTCAACTGGAAATGGTGTCAGCATGAGAGTATGTTAAGTGCCTATCAAGCAAAACATAAGCGCTGCAGAGAGGCTCGGACATCCCGTTTTCGGTTTCTTTAAAGCTAAAAGAAGAGCTCCCCCTTTTTGTCTTCTAACACCGCACATTACTTATTCTTTTGTTGGATGTGTATGTGTGTGCGGTGTGCATATGTGGGTGCTTGCACATGGGCATACATGTGTATGGGTGCACGTGAATGTGTGAGGCCCAAAGCTGATGGCAGTGTCTTCTTCTCCAGTCACTTTCTAACTTCTGTATTGAGTCAGGATCTCTTGCTGGACCTAAGGCTTGCTCTTTCTCACTAGACGGGCTAGCCAACTTGCTCTAAGAGTCTCTGTTTCCACTTCCCTTGAACTGGAATTACTGCAGGCTGCCATGCCCATTAGTCTGTCTGTCTGTCTGTCTGTCTGTCTGTCTGTCTGTCTGTCTCTCTCTCTCTCTCTCTCTCTCTCATACACACACACACACACACAC